CCCAACATCTAACAGACGACGTCGAATTCATTTTTATTCGGTTTTCTGATGACAAATTTTTAGCTTTAAAAAAAGGTTGATTTTAATTATTCCGTTTAAATAAGATATGCAATTTGAATTTGGAAAAGAAGAGAAAAAGGAAATGTTAAATTATTCATTTGTTTATTCGATTCGAGTTCTATATTTTTGTTTATTTCCTTATTGTCACTGTTTTTTTTTTCGCAATATTCTGTTTTTTTTTTTCAGAAAATTCGACGCCGAATGAAACATTTTGGATGAAATGATCTAGAGACACGCTGGATTTCTTTTTCAAGGTTCGTTTCAAATATTCGAAATAAACTCTCTCAATTCATATGATAGTAATCTTTTTCGGCGCCTAATAAGAATTAATTATTATTCAAACTTTGTATTATAATTTATGCACTTCGTCGAATATGCAAAACTATTCACTAATTTTTATTCATTTCCAGTTTTCTAGTGATGTGTCTTATTTCGAACTTTATTCGGGTAAGGAAATTTCCTTTGATGAGCCTATTCTTTGCAAAAAAAATTAGCAAATGGGTCCAATTTATAAAAAGCCAGTGAGTTTGATTCGCAGGTTGACCGTAGTACATAATAGATTCTTGTTAATTTTTGCGATTGCAGTTTCGAGATTGAATCGGGTTTTTTCAGACAAGGAATCTATTAAATTGAAAATTCAGCAGTTCATAGAAGCGATCGTTAAAAAATCTAAAGTAGAAGCATGCCAAAAAGAGCTATTTTGGAGGCGAATTACGACAGTTGGTATTGTTATTTAAAAAAAATAGACAACTCAAAATGTTCAATATGTGCATTCTACTAACTCTAGGTGTTTGATTGTTATACTTCTTTGAAATAATTCGTTTCTGCACGAAAAAGATGGCAGATGATGATGAAAACATTCAAATATGCGCGTCGCTTCGATAAAAATTCGATATATTGTGAAAATGTTGAAAATTCGCGTTCGCAATTCAAAAAATTCCACGACTAAATGCCACTTGTGCAAATGTTTCGGTTTTTTTGAAATTTCATTCAGTTGGCGTCCGACGACGGATGTACGCGGGTAGATTTACGCGCATGCGCCTTGAAAAGGTCTCGCCACGTGCGAACTCTTATTTTTTGCTGTTTTCAAGTGAACGATTTATTTTTTCTTGATTGGCTTGGAATTTCTAACGTCATTCGATATAACAATTATCGATCCGACCCATCAAATGCGAAATAATCAGTTAGTCCGCGCGAGACCATGAGAAAGACGCATGCGCGTAAATCTACCCGGAGTCGCCGGACGCCGACTATATAACGTTTACGAAACCGGGGAACCCCGATATTATTGACGTAGGCGACAGACGAAATGGGCGTATAACGCAACAATTTCGAATTTTTTGATTTCATATTAAACCAACTGCGAGTAGAAACTTTTTGGTATGAACACTGTATCATTTGAATTTCAGCCTTACGGTTTGCATGGAAAAAAAAAACTGTTAGAAGGGATGTCATTTTACCTTTTCCTTGAAATGTTTCGCAACTTTGAACCGTTAACTCGAAGGCCTTCTGAAACAGTCCACCAATTTCCAGCCTGCCTTGGGGGTTTACATAGGAGTAATGGTCATCTGAATATTCAAGGTGATTTGCCATTGTCAGCAGTCATTTGGACAAGATGTGACCGATATGTATCCGTGACCAATCAAATGGCAGCTCGCACAATTCAAAATTTTCAAATTACATCCACGAAATCGAAATAAACAATATGAAATTCTGAATCTTCAGTCTAGAATCTGATTTGTTATAGGTCTAACAAATATCCGAGTAGAGGCCACTTTCAAATATGAATTTTTTTGCAGAAACTTCGTTGTGGCCGTTCAAAGGCGGCTCGTCAGAAGCGAATCGACGGGAGCTTCAATGTTTTTGCGCGCCGCAATCTCAACACGTAAGTTGGTCTGCAATTACTGCGAATTTCTGCTTTCTCGAAATGATTAGGTGCGGCTCATCCGATTCTAAGCCATGAATTCATAAATATACAAAACTCAATAATCTGCGGTGGTTCACAATAATATCCTGAATAAGCGACCAAAGTTTGTGCCTTCTTTTCGTTTTTTTTTTGCTCCTAATTGAGTCTTTGAAACAATGAGTTTGGAGGGCAGGTGAAATCGAAACTGCTCAACGCGAAAACTTCGTTTTTTTTTGCGTCGACGGCATTCTATTTCAAACGCAACTTTGTCTCCTATCCTTTTCCTTTTATGGAATATCTTCTTTAACAATATTTCATATGTCTCGTTACGTAGTTGAAGTGTTTACTCGAAAAGAATTCTTTCGTCGATGCTGGATTTTTAGTAAAATTAAATTCTAGAAAAATAGGGACTAACTGATACTGAAATAACTTTTTGGAATGATTGCGATTATAAATTATCGTCAAAATTGGGCGATCGATGATCTACTTTAGGGTTGAATTCCGAATACGGAAAACATTTTGAGAATAAGGAATTCAGTTTTGAATTGCTTTGCTCTTTTACGTAAAACATGCGTTTTGTGTTGATGATTTGTGCAATCCAAACGTTTTTTGTATTTTCCAGATGTTTTCGTGCGAATTGTTTATAAAGCTCCTCCTTGATCCGCCTTTTTCCGCCCTTCAAAAACCCGCAATTAATTTTAAATTCGTCCAACTGGCCGCCGAATTCAAATAACCCTATATTTAGTTTTTTGTCGACCCCAAATTTTTTTTTCTGCAGTCTATGCATTTTCTTTGCCTCGGGCGTCGATATAGCTGCGCCTGATCACAAAGTTCGCCTGAATTTATTAAAAAGGGCAGAATTTTAAATTATATCTAACCCTCTTCGATTTCTTCTATATATTTGAATTTTTATGAAATACTTTGCATTTTGCTTCGAAAAATCCTTGTTAGGCCCCATTTTTCGACAAAATTAAATTAAGGAAACAATTTGTCAAAATTCGTTCGTATCTCAACACTCTTGAATTTTTAAAATATATTTTTTTGAAAATGCCCAACTTTTTAGTCAATTTTTAATGGTCCGATGGTCCGATTCTGCGAATTGAAAAAAATGAACAAAAAATTACACATGTTTCAAATGCAGGAATGTATAAAAATGCAATGAGGACAATAATTAAATTAGGAAGAAAACAACCGCGAGACTCATGATAAAATTTGTTGTCTTGTGTCTTTTTTTCGACGTTACGGTATTCATTTTCGATGAATATTCGAGAAATCATATTTGTTACGTTTATTCTCTATTTAATTTTCATGTTTGAAGCATTGGGAAAAACTGATTGGAAAACCGACTCAAAGTGACCCCGACGGGTCTCTCCTAGCTTTCTTTTTTTTAATTTCTGTTTCCATTGCGATTTCAGTAGGTCTATTAGAAACCACCCCCACCCCTGCTATTCCACCCCGACTTTTATTTATGATACCACCCCCACTTTTTCACTGCACTTCAAAATTTGCAGTTTCTAACAATAATGTTTAGCAGTAAAATTTTTAAAATTTTTTTAATATTTGCAATAATTCAAGTTATCAAGACGAGATTCGCAGGGCTGATGTTTAATTAGATTTTTCAGAAACTATGTAGTGTTCTTATGAAAGGCTGAAAATTTTAACAATTAATGAACTATTCTCTAAAAACCCAGTTCAGAAATATTTCGTATTTCGTAAGATTTTCGTATTTTCTAACAATTGTCAATATTTCAAGTGTCCAATTGTGCGTTTTGATATCAAGCTTGTTTGCAAGCCTACATAGTTTCTGAAAAATCTAATTTAGACATCAATTTTGCCAATTTCCTCTTGAAAACTTGAATTATTGCAAATAAAAAAAATTTTTTTTTAATAATTTACTGCCAAACATTACTGTTAGAAACTGAAAATTTTGAAGTGCAGTGAAAAAGCAGAGGTGAAATCTAAAAATTGGGGTGAAAAAGTGAGGGTGGTATCATAAATAAAAGTCGGGGTTAAAAAGTCGGGATGGAATAGCAGGGGTGGGGGTGGTTTCTAATAGACCTTTTCAGTATTCCTCTATTGTAAAAAAAATAGTAATTTTTTGTAGAAATGTTTAATTCCGTAATAGGCTTATAAATGTGAGATTGCCCGGAAATATTTGTAGGACTCATGAAAAAACAACAAATTGACAGAAAAAAATGCAACAATTTTCAAATGATTCGAAACTAAAATGGAAAAATGATTATTAAATTCTTATTTGAAATTGATTTATTTATTCTAAATTATGTTTAAATATGTAAAAATTTTTGTTTTTTCCACATTTGAAGTTTAATTCTTTGGTCATTCGAAAAAAAAAACTTGGAAGAAAAATGAAGAATTGGTTCCTTTTGTGCAAACTTTTTGGTGAATTAGATATTCATGACGGAAGAAAGTCGGGAAAAAACAAGAGAAAATAAACGTAGAATGTTGTTCTTTTGCGGCTTCATCTCACTTTTCTTCGTTATTCGCCACTCTCCTTATCCGTTACACTCCCTATATATTCCTTATATGTACATATCGCCCCCCCCCCGCACGTAAATTTTTGTGCTCTGCGACGAGGCTCGGTCAACTTTTTTCCTCATTTCTCTTCAATTCGCATTTCGTCTCATTTTTGGCGATGAAAAAGTGCCGACGGCAATGATTTATGTGGAATAAGCAAGCCAATTGTATTTTTGTGGGGCCTTCTTCGGAGATGAAGGCCACCTCATTTATTCATTACTTTCATTTTTTCCGATTCCTCAAAGCCGCCGCCGCTGCCGTTGCCGCTATCGTCGCGGTCGTCACCAATTCCAAATTTTTGCCCATTTTTGGCATCCCATCGGCTGTTCGAATCAACTAATACTACTCTAATATTCACAAAAAAACGGCGCCTATTTCCCTCAATTATACCATATTATTCTCCATTTTTTTTATTTCGTGGAGCACATTTCCGCGAAATTTTTTGATTTGGTCACAACGCCTTTCGGCACCAAACATACCAACATTACTCGAAAGAATTATGAACCGGATTGGGCCACGACGTAAAGGATTCCGGGCAAAGTGAGTACCGTTTTTCGCCTAAAAAATAATGTATTGCTAGCTCGAAACAAAACGAATTCCTTTGCAATTGTCTTTTTTTTTTCTTGAGAAAGTGCACATATAATATCTATTCATCCAAATTCCGCAGACATCTTCCGACAACTTGTCGATCTTTTTTGATTGCCCCAAATTATTTTCGATTCCGTCTGAACGTGGATCGTAATACGACCAACCCATGATATCTATTTGAATTTCGGGACCCCTATTTGAGTGTGTGTGTCCACTAATAAATTCATCCTCCTTCGAATTTTGATTCGTCAGCGTGACCCCATTTCATTCAAAGTTATTCGGTCACGCGAAACTCCAATTTTTTTGGAGATCAAACTTGAGAAATTGGCTTTTGGTTTTTTACGTGGGAATCATTACATTGATGATAAATCCCGACATTTTTGTTTGAATTTGATCACAATATGGAAAATGGGCGATTCAGATCATACATCGAGTTTCCTGTCATTCGAATCGCATTTGGAACACTCAAATTATAGGTTAAAATTGTCTGCAAACTTGTAAATGGATATTTAGTCGGTTTGTTTCCGGTGAATTGCGACTAATATGTATTTGGCGGCAGGCAGTCGCCATTTATTGGCGGTAAAATTCACACAGATTTCACAAAATTCAAAGCATCGTTTTAAACCGAAAAAAACTTGAACCTATTATAATAACGAGAAAAAACGATTTTTATAAATAATAAAAAAAGGGGGCACCTAAAACAAAAAAGAGAAATAAGGAGAATAAAAATGCAAATTTTGGGTTTTTTTTTCAGACAAAACGGAGCCGCACAGACAAAAGAGATCATCGAACCAGTGATGGCGAGTGGTGTTTGCGTACATTCGGTTCTTCCGTTCAAGTCGGCCAACTCCGTTGATGCCAGAGGTGAGCTGCCCCACGTCTTTGCCTCTTCTTTCTTATTTTCGCTTTCTTCATTTTCTTTTGTTTTTGTTTTTCTTTGCGTTCCTTTATCTAAACCAACAAACTTGATGGATTTGAAAAAAAAAAAGAAAAAAGAACACTCAAACACAACAAATAGAAGAAGAAAAAACATTATTTAAATATATTTTTTTCCACTTTATCGTTTCAATCAAATATCAAATTGTCATCATTCGTTTTCTCGAAACTTCACGCATGGGTATTTCATTTTATGCGCGTTTGATGTGAATTTTCCATAAATTATGCATTTCAAAGGCTTAATTAATTTTTGTTTTATTGCCATTCGAGGCAAGTTTCCATTTGAGATGCTCTCAAGGATTACGGTAGCTTAAAAGTCCTCATTGGCAATAAAATGTCGCGAGCTTCCGTTTCGGATCAATCAAATGACAAACCTCGAAATGACAGGGTATTCATTTCGATCTTCAACTACGATATTAGAAATCTCGAATTTATTGTGTTGAAGAACTAAAGTTGGTTTTTTTTATCGTTAGCATTTTTGATTTTCCATTTTTTTTTCAAACCAATTTCTTCAATTAAAAATTTTCTTCAACTTCAAGATTTCTTCTTTTACAAACTCTCATATTCTATTCAAAATTGAACCTTTATCGAGCCTAAGATTACTGTAGCTCAATTTCTTCCGGAAGACATACCCTCATGTTTATATATGCTCTTTATGGTGTATTTAATGTATTCACTCCTCAATTGCTTTGTCTCCCGAAGCTCCGCCCACTTTTTGAGAGCCGTTCTTTCACATTTTCATGCATGCTCATATTCAGACGTGAAAGAATTCCCCGAAGTTTTCAAAAAAAAAAAAAAAGAATCATGTCATGTTCCATCGAATTCCAGCCCATATTCCCCGAAGCCCATGATGATGTGATTTTTGTGGCTTCTGAATCCGATTAGAAATCAGTGCGAACATCGATGAATCGCATTGACAAGTCCGTGGGCGGAGTCTCGTTTTTTTCGCTAGGTTTCGTCTCGCGTTCGTCTGTTTGACTCCGGAGCCCATAAAACTTTTCGCCCAGCTTCAATCGTGTTTTTTCTGCCCGCGGTGCCTCACTTCTGTCTTTCCCAAATGCTCCTCCATCTTCTTCTCTTGATTTCTGGTCATATAGGTGGTTCGGAGGCACTTTGAAACATTCGCTTTCGACTTTCTCCCCCATTTTTGAGGCAATCATCATTTTTCATGTTTCCTTAATTATGCCCCGTGTCTTCTTTTTTCGTTCATTTTCCCATTCAACAATTCCCCATTTTTTTCGCCTTCTTCTTTCTTTTTTGTTCTTCATAATAAAGAAAGTTGAAAATAAAAGTATAATGAGAGAAATGTGTGATGTTTTCGAGGTGAAGTTTTCAAGTCATGAGAGGTTTCAATTGGCTTTTTGAAAAACAAAAGAAAAATTTGGGTTCGGCTTTAAAAAAGCGATTCATCGGCGGTTGCTCTCTCATTTTCACGTGATGTCTCGAGTGTGAAAGTGAGACGAAAACAATTTTTGTTCATTTTTTACAATATTCGATTTCAATACTGATATTTGCTCCTTATATTTTGCTCCGTGTCAATTCACATCAGCGTGAGGTCAGAAAATCCAATTTTGTGTTTTTCGAACTGCATTCTCACGGAATTATGTTCTGTTCCGTAATCTAGGTAATTCCGAAATAGATTTCGGCGTTTTCATATTATTTTCCATCGATTTTTGTAGAATCCATTCAAATTTCTGAGAATAAGAACAAAGAGAAATGCGTTTTGTGACGGGGAGCATTTCATCGCTCGAAACGCGATCAACCCGAAATTGTTTTTTGCACATTGAATTATTTTTTTTTATTAAAAGGCAGCCGTCATTTTTTTTTTAATTCGAAGACAATGAATCCGAAATCATTTTCAGGAGCAAAACGCGAAATGCACCGTCAAGGCACCAACCAATCGGCTTGCTCCGACAGCGACGAGTTCACCCAGGAGGAGCTGCAGGAGTTAGCTCAAGCATTCAAAGTCTTCCTTGATGCTTCCAACGCCAAAATTCAATTCTAATTTGCAGCTTTTCGACAAAGACGGCAACAATACCATGAATATCAAAGAACTCGGAGTTGCAATGCGCACGTTGGGCTTGAATCCGACCGAGGAGGAACTTCTCAATATGGTCAATGAATACGATGTGGACGGGAATGGAAAAATCGATTTTGGCGAATTCTGCAAGATGATGAAAGAAATGAACAAAGAAACCGATCAAGAGCTGATTCGTCTCGCATTCAAGTTAGTTTTACTACAAATTAATTAATTTTTTAATACTGATTTTTTCTAATCGACTAGATTATTTCGTCAACTTGAAATGTCACCCTAGAATTATTCAAAAAAAAAAAAAATGATACGATTTTCCAATCTTTTTTTTTCTTTGTCGTTAACCGCCACCAGAAGAGTTTTTTGATCATTGAGATGCTGAGATCATTAAAATTGATGAATGTTAAAACTTTAAGAGTGTTCGACAAGGACGGCAATGGCTATATCACAGCTCAGGAATTCAAACATTTTATGACGACAATGGGCGAGAGATTCAGCGAGGAAGAGGTCGATGAGATCATCAGAGAAGTTGATAAGGACGGAGATGAGCAGGTCGGTCCGCGTTTCATTTTCGACATGTGGTCCTCATCATTGTAATAATGAAATTGGTTTCTCTTCCAGATCGATCTCGACGAGTTCGTCAACATGGTTGCTCCGATCGTTTCAGAAGGAAATAAGACTGATCCATTCGCTGAGCCGGCAACGTCGACAACGGCCAAATAGAGAGCACCGTCTACAGATGTACATAAATACAATATAATCAATCACTTCATTCCACCCACCTCTCATTCGAATTTGTTTAGTCGAATCTATTTGCTCTTCGAGTTTGGACCACACGTTAGCATCTTTACTATTGGCATTCCGTTTAATAATTGATCTCAACGACGATCTATTTTGTTTTTCTCAAATCTTCTCTGGCAAAAGAAAATATGTACACCTATTATTCGTAAATATCCTCTTATATATTATTTTGATGGAAATATCTAATAAAACGTATTTTGAAGTGAATATAATAGAGTTGAATGGACTATGGAACGCTTAAACAAATTGAAAAGCGAGGATTTTATTCTTCTGAACGACAAGGATATATATCTTATTCTGTATATCTTATTCTCTTCAGGTCTTGCAGCGAACAATTCTGGTAGACGCTTTTTTGGGAAACTTGAAACATTTTTGATTTGTTCTAGTATGATCTGAAGAGAATAAGATATACATATATATTAAAGGCGCATCAATAATATGTTCAAAAAACGTTTGATCATTCATTTCAAACTTGTTGAATTTGTCAGTCTTCGACAAAAAAGCGCTTGATCAAGGCGGTTGAAGATAAAATGAATTAAAAGTCGATTCTTGGAATTTGAAATTTGATGACCACATGAATTATTGTATAACAAATCGATTCCATTTGATCATTCAGCACTCATTTTTTGACTTTTCGATATTTCGTCGAAAAAAAAGTTTTGATAGCAGTTGCTCGACAAAATAGTATATAAAAAACAAAAATAATCAATTATTCGAAGTCTATTTGAAAAAAATTGTAATTAATATTATTCAAAAGTAGTTTTGTTTGTTGTGGAGCGACTTATTTTGAGTGCATCGTGTGGAATATTATTAGGTAGAAGAGATTTTCTTGATAGGACCCTTTTTTAATTTGTGAGTCTTGCACACTATTTTAATGTTTTTTTTTTCAATATTATTCAAAACGTTTGAAAAGATTTTCTCGCATTAAATTCACCTTCTCAAAGCTCAAAAAACTAATAATAGTATTTTGGAAGTTGATAAAATAGTCTGCACTAACAGGAATAAATAAATTATTTATTCCCCGTAATAGAATAAAAAGAAATCCAATGAAATTATCGTCGTCCAAACATGAAAAAGTAGAGGAACAGTAATATGAGGATGACGAATGGAACTGTGCAGAGCATGCATGCCATTGCACTGAACTTCCGATGAAATGCTGCAAACGATTCTTAATCAAACGTCGATGCTGCGGATGGCACACGTACCATCATTGCCATGATTGTAATCGACTTGCAGGGATTGACGCTCAAGGTCCTTTCGCTTCGGCATTCTGCAAAGTGAAATATCGCGTTCCAGGTTTCTATAGAAGCAATAAATAAATAATAGCAAGAACGAAATGAATATAGTCTAGTGTTGAACATGCAAATACCAATGAAATTGGAGTGATAATGAAGAAAGTGTTGAGTTTTTGGGACAATGCTCAATTTATTCATTGGAATTCGAAATATTCACTTGTACTAAATGGTTTATTTCAAACTCGTTTCATAAAATTAAAATTGTCGCCTAAAATTAAAAAAAAAAAAGAATATTTTAGATATTATATATGTAAGAATCGTTTGGTGTGTTTTTCCGGCGAATTTCAATCATATTTCTTATTTTCCTCGTCGAATATTAATGATTTACCGATAAATCTTTTTAAACCTTCATTTTTATTATTTTTCATGAAAGTATTTTGAATGGATTAAAAAAAATAACCTTGCTGTTACAAAAAATTAACTTTGAAAATATTGAAAACAAAAGTTTAATTTAAAACTATTTCCAGAGGGTAAACGTTTTCACTTGAAAATATCTTAAATTCGCATTTTTAGAGCGATTTTATTCTCATGTGTAATGGGAAAAAGGAAACTTGTGCAGAAAAGGGTAGATCATTTCTGCGAATGGCTCTTTTTACAATTTTCGCTACAATATCAACTTGTACCTATGGATTGTATTAAGCGGAATGAACTTTTTCTTTTTTTTTAATTAACTTAAAAAAAAACACCAAAGAATGTTTGCAAAATACTCTACATATTTAATCATTTTTATATGGCTATTCGATTGCGAAAATTATGTTTAAAATGATTGAAAATTTATAAGAACATTCAAGTTTTTTCGATAATCAAAACTTGAAAATTCTTTACGAAAAACATAAATTCACGAATATGAAGGGAATGTGTTTGATTTCGAAAAAAAAGAATCTATCGACTTATTTTTAGGCAATTAAAAAGTTGTTAAAGAAAAACATATTATTATGGAGCGGAAACCACAAAGAATGGATAATCTCGCTGATCAAAACGTAGGTGTTTATTATAATATTTGTTTTCATTGAAATGAATTGCGATAGCTTTAAATGATGACAATTTCTTGTTTCAATTTGCAGTAATCCAATAAAGCAGGCGAGAGGTCTGATGTGCGTAATAGGTAGTCGGAAGTGACAAAATGATTTCGACAAACAAGGCAACATGAATATTGCGAATAGAAATATCAATCAACGAAACAAAACAAAAAACACAAGCACACACACAAAGAGACACGCGAAATTGGTTTCGATGCATGTCAAAGTAGATTAATAAATGAGACGGTCGTATTTCCAAAGGCATGAGCACATGGGAGTGGCGAAATGTGTGAATAAGTAAAATGGTAGGGCGGCGTCTGAAATTTGCCCCGAGACACCTGCTTGCTGAATAATTGACGAAACAAATAGGATTTCGCACGAAAAGAGATTTTTCGGGTGGCGAGTGGGCGAGCAGGCAACATTTCGCAGGTGATTCGGCTTCTGACCTAATATCGAGCCATCATGCGAAATTTTTCAGGCCATTTAAACAAATGACGTTTGATATGGATTTATTCAAATTAGACAATGGTCAAATTCGTCGAAAAGTGTACAAAAATGAACGGTAATGATTTAAATTACCGAAAGTTTGAGTTTCAATTGCTTAATGTTGATAACGAATTTCCACTTTTCTTTTTTTAAAAACTGTTAAAATAATTGTCGTCTACTTTAATATTCGATATCGTGAATATTTCAAATATTATGGTCTCGATGCGAATCGCTTGAATCGATACAAAAAATGCGTTGATGCGTTGAGTGTTAAACAGCGAAAAATAAACACGTGTGTTTGCAAGTCAACGATTCTTTTGAATAATGAGAACGAAGAAAGAAGAAGACGACCAATGAAAAGGAACTTTCAAAATCGACGAGCTCATCGCACAAAAATGAAATTTGGACGAGACGAAAATTATGGGTGCGGCGGCGGCGAGCATCATTCATTCAATCAAGCCATTTTTCGAAGCACAATTTTCGACGAAATAAAACGTTTGAAATATTGATGACCGACAATTATCGGATTCCGAGCAGCCGATATCCTTTATTCTGGTTGAAAGCACGAAGCAAGTGCGGAGTCACAGCGAACAAATTCCCCGTGAAACATTGAATAGTTCGGCTCGGACGATTCAAATCGTCATTAAGAAAATATGCTATGTCCATCATTTTTCCTAGATAAGTTCGATTTATATAAAATGATTTATTTTGACCGTCTTCTGAAAATCGCCTTTCTAAGCCGAAACTCACTGCAACAATCACATTTGTTCCATCTCACTCGAAATCATTTTAAAATTCTTGAGGCTAAACTTGTTCCTGTTGTGAGTCCACTCCGCATTAACACCATATTTGGTCATATAACCAGACGTTGCTTTTACTGTTTAGCGAAATGCCAGTGTTATCGAGGATACGCAGAAAAACCATTTTGACTCATTTGTTCGGATGTCGCGCATTACATTATTTGTATAAAAAGAAACAACTTTTCATGATAATTTTATTTCGTTCGTGATGAATCAAAAACTAGTTGGTCTTGTGACCACATTTTCTGCTGTTTCGTTAGTTTTTGCCTGGTATTTTACGATTGCTATTTTGGCTGAAATCAACGAATTCCAATCAGAAATTCAAAAGGATCTCGGATATATTCGAGTTTATTTTTATACTAATTTTTTAAAACTTTTCGATTTTGTCTAGGACTTTAATGAAGATGCCTGGAGCACAATGCAGACATCCGAACCATCATTGTTGAATTTCTTGCGACGCAAGAAACAAGCTGGATATGCATTTGTAAGCGGCCATCACCCAGAAATCTCACACTGCAGTACGATTCGTGACGATTTAAAAACTATATCTCATGAATATTCAGATTGTGGACCGATATCTGCTGTATGTCCCAGAGGACCACCTGGACCAGCCGGAGATGACGGAGATCCTGGAGGTTTGAATTTCTTTTTTGTTTTCAAATGTTGATTTGCCCATCTTTTAGTTCCTGGATTAGATGGAGACGACGGAACCCCAGGATTGGATGGCCTTAAACAAATGGCAATGGAAGCTTCGGTGAGAAATTTTCAAAAAAATATCAACTGATTTCTGCTTAAGTTCGGAGAATGCATCAAGTGCCCAGCCGGACCACCTGGATCTCCTGGAGCTATTGGTCCCCCGGGAACAGTCGGCCTTCCTGGATTACCTGGAGAAGACGGTGAAGATCCGACAGAAGGCGCACCAGGACCGCCAGGGCTTCCCGGACGACCGGGATACGACGGAAAACCAGGATGTTCGGGAGATGATGGACCGCCTGGTAAAAACTTTCAAAAGTTCATCAATCTCCCAGGTGAACCGGGTCCTCCGGGACCTCCCGGAAGACCAGGGCGAAAAGGAGAAAATGGAAAAAGTTCGTACGGTTCTCCGGGTGCTATGGGTCCAACGGGTCCACCTGGTAATCCAGGTTCTCGGGGTATCGATGGAGGAAATGGACCAAACGGAAGTGATGGATTACCGGGAGAAGATGGACAGTATTGCCCTTGTCCACCACGAACGCCGTCCAGAGGAGAAACGATTGAAAAAGAAGAAACCTCTGGAGGATATATCGTTTTCCGGAATTAATTCAATAATTTTAACCTATTCGATTATTTATTAATAAATATTATATTTATATTCTCTTTAGTAGTAAATAAGAAAGGCTATCATAAATTCTCAATAAATCCCTTCGTAGACAGGCTACACAGTTTCGTCATTTATTTAGAGAGAAACAAAAAAATTAAAATTTTTCGCAACTGTTTTTCTCAAAATTTTCGAGTGTTGTGCACTATCCTTACAGAGTGTTTGCGGAAATACATTAAAGCTTACGAGACATTAAAATTTTTCCGTAAACTTCATTTAAGTTTTTGTATTTGCTGTATATTCGAAATCTATTCTACATTTTAGAAATGGGATTTTACAAAATGTAACGGATTTTTGAATTAAGTAATAACTTAGCGTTTCCATATATAGATCACGCAAATCCACGCAAAGTAGGCCAATGTGCCACCTAATTGGGAAGAAAAATGTATGATGCAGAAACAGTAAAATCTATTGTACAATTTTTCTCTTCGAAACATTTTTTCTGGTTCGATTAGTCATCGAAATATATTCGAAAAGGTAAACACCGCAATTTTGATCTACATTTGTTAAGGGCGCCAAACGAATCTAACGCGCGAAAGTTTATGTTGCTATCATTTATTTGTCGGAAAAGCTCTTATCAGTTTAATTTGTTCGCTTATTTGAGATCTCTATTGGAATTTATTCGTTTTCAGATACGATGCAGTCAACGCCGAGCAATATGCCAACATCGACGGCCCAGACCTCAAATCCGTCTTCGCAAACTCAAATGGCATATGAACCACAAGTAATAATCGCAGTCTCAATAATTTTGTTTCAAAAATTCTCGCTTTTAGTATTACTACGCAGCTCCGATGACTACAGGAACTCAACCTTACATGCAGACAGCAGCAAATGGACAAACCTACGCGGCTCCACAATATTATCAGGATGCGAATGGACAACTTGTTGCGCTTCCGGCTCAAAATGGGCAAATCGTCATGCAAGAGTACCCAAACCAGCAGTTCATGTATATGCAGGGACAACAGGGGCCGAATCAAGGAATACCACCGAACGGAGCTCCTCAGATGATGGCACCAACACCCCAGCCTCAGATAATTTATTATCAGCAACCAATGGGTCCGATGCCAACTCAGGCGCCTGTTTACTATCAACCGGTGCCAGCGAACGCGCAAATGATGCCAGAGCAAATGGGAATGCCGCAAACAATGCAGACAGTTATTCCTGCCCAGATACCGATGCCGCAAGGTCGCCTACCTGGCGAAATGGGAAAATATGGTGAAACAATAAGCATTTCTTTTCGAATGTTTGCAATTCTTAGGCTCTGCTCGAGGTCCACTTACATCATCGACTCCGCTTCCAACTAGCATGGAGTATGAGCAAATGCAACGTGAAAACAGAAGCAAAAATATTCATTTTCGTTATAACAGGTACAAATTTTGGTTTTTTTTTAGTTTCAGCTGGAACTTTTCGTTTTAGAGCCATTGAGGCAGAAGATGATTATGAACATATGTTGCCGATTGACGAAATCTCTAAAATCACAATTGACAACGCCAACGATGAAACGATGAGCGCTGAAAAAGAAAATCATGTGGAACATCATCCGAAATCGGAGAAACTCTCTCGTCGTGGTGGCGGTTTCAACTCGCAAAATGTCTTGAGCCAACACTCGATGGCGCAGAATCAAGTTCCAATCAACTACAAAACTCGGTTGTGCATGATGCACGCGTCCGGCACGAAACCCTGTGAAATGGGCTCACGGTGCAAATTCGCGCACGGTCTGAAAGAACTTCGTACAGTGGAGATGCCCGTCCGTGCAACGAATAACAAATACAAAACCAAATTGTGCAAGAATTTTGCCCGTGGAGGTTCCGGCTTCTGCCCATACGGTTTAAGATGCGAGTTCGTTCATCCAACTGACAAGGAATTCTCCAATATTCCCCATTATGTTAGTTTGTATTATTTGTATTATGATTAGATGCATTGTTCAGCAACGATTGCAAGTTGACGAACATTGTTCGGATCCTGACATGACGCCGGATACCGAAGATTTCATTACATCAAAGCATCAACGAATGATGCAACATCATCGCAGTTCGGCAAGAAATAGCCAACCAACGAAGGTTCTTCTCAAACATCGTAATGTAGCTGGGTAAATACGAGGTCGTTTGCAACCGTCCAAAAATCATTTTCAGTTCGATGATGTGCCTTTCGCAAACCGGACGGGAAGCAACTGCTGCTGGTGGTGATTTCAATCGTCCAAATAACAGCCACGACAGCAATTTGCCGCCACATTTAAGAGCCAAGTAGGAGTTTTTTGTTTTAAATTTCGAGATTTAACGCATTCTGTTTTCAGCCGCGCTTCTAGCTCAACAAATGGAATGATGGCAAAACTTCCACGGCGGGTGTCGATGTCGCAGTTGAAGACGAAATGGACATCTGAGGAGAATCTTGTACGCTATTAATAATCGAGCGCTTCAACGTTTTCACGTAATTTTACGTCGTGTACTATATGATTGTACATAAGGAAACAATTCAACATTCATAGCAAACTCATTCGCTCTTCGACTACCATAATCAAAGTACTACTAAACCATTTTAATCAGTCAGATGTCTGCTACGACCTACTTTTTATCCAAACACTAGAGATTTATCATTGTTCTAAACCATACATAGCTTACGATTTGATTTACCTACATTTTTTCCTGCCAGTCAATTTGTTTTTATCAGACCCTTCTCTGTTTGTATCGTTTCGACGCGTACACATTTAGGGACACTTACACAGACTTACTTTCTAATATAGATTGTACATCAAAAAACATCGCAAAAAAATTCCAGATGATATTTTGTTGGTCGGTCTGCCCATTGGTGCAACTGACGTTATATAGTTTATTTCTTTCATTTCAACCCGCTGTCTTTTTGAAGATTGTACACCTTCCCCCGTTTCAAAACAACAAAAAGAGATTTGACAAAATAAATGACTGAAAGAGGAATATTGTATTGTTGTACTGCCGAAACAAATGAATTTGACACATTTTATCAAATGCGTTTGTGAGACATCGAATTGGAAATGATTAAAATGGGATCATGATGCTTAAATTTAAATCATAAGCAACGTTCTTTTGAAGTTGGTCAGTTTTGGCATTTATTTTCAAATCAAAGAAATCCGAAACGCTTGAAGATCGATGAGCTAGTGATCCCGAACTTGTGCAATTCGTAAATTGTAGATAATAATTTTCTGAAAAATAGGGTACCCAAAATGCGCCTCAACGCACGAATTCGTCATAATTATGACTTCTGTAATTATGTAGGAACAACAAGGCGGAAACGGGACAAAACTTAAGACAGGGAGACAAAATCGTTTTTCCTGAGCTTGTAGTTCGTGTAATATCAATGCCTATGAAATTATGCCTCATGTAATTGAAATCAAGGATTCAGCTCACCCCCAATTTTGAACCTCCACCTCCACTTTTCCACCACATTTGAATGCTGACCTTCCTGATTTTGTGCCCAAAATTTTCGATCACCATCCCCCTCGAAAATGGGCCAATTCAATCAAATACACATCGCAGTTTTTAGAGTGGTACATTGTTTCGTGACGGTGTGTGCACCGATTGCGCATTCACGGAAAGCCTAGTTACAGTAGATATTGTTGAAAAATGACAAATGTATCCAGGAGTCGTAGGATCCTGCGTTTTTTACGCAATGCTAAGAGACAGTTACCGTAATCCTCGTAGCGATTTACGGGGACTTTTTTTTTAAATTTCGCTTAGTCATTTTTTTTTATTTTTCGTTCAATTTTTTAATTTTCTTTCGAAATTTTTTAATTTAAATTTTTAAATTTTGCAGAAACCGAGTTTAATAATGTATTTAGCAGAATAAGCACTTTTAAACGATATTTTTTTCGTAAAAACAGCAGAGATTAAAAAGAAATCATTTTTGTCGTTAATAAAATTATTTAATCGTGTTTTGCTCTTTGTATGCGTTTCTATTATCTTGTTTTTGTATTCTTCATTTTCAAAATAATTTTTAGAGCGTCAAAATCTTCACATTAATTCCCAACTCAACTAGACAAATGGAAAAGTGCATATTCTGAAAAATAAATAATTAAACTCGGTTTCTACAGGTTTTAAATATAAGATTTCTAAAGAAAATTAGAAAATTCAGCAAAAAAATTTTTTAAAAAAATCTCTGTAAATCGCTGCGAGGATTACGGTAACTGTCTCTTAGCATTGTGTACAAAACGCAGGATCCCACGACACCTGGATACATTTGTCATTTCTCAACAATAAATAAGAATTTTTCTTTCATGTAAATTTATTGTCGGCGTCAAACGACTGAAGGGAGGCAGGGGCCTTCAAGAACGATCTGTATATAGGAATTCTAGAAGCTCACGTTTCCCTCATTATTGATATTTTATTTGGTTTACTCAATAAAAAGTCATATTGACCAAATTTTGTTTATTACATACCCGGTCACAACAATTAGAATTGAAAAAAGAAAACGAGCACATTAAATAATTGTGTACCATCGCACATTTTGATGAAACAATTAAAATTTGATTTTTTCCTGTGGAAATTTGTATACCGTACTACGGATAATCTACGAATCAAACTCACCGTAAATCTGCATAGAGTGCTGGTTTTTTTTGGGAAACGACAAGATTGAAAAAGACAACAATCCAGAGGGAACACACAAACAGATGATTTGCAGATTGTTCTGATAAATCACTAACTAGCTTAAATTTAAATAGTAAGGATCAGGATTGACAAAATTACTATATGTGTTATAATATTAATAATTAAATCGAGAAGTCATTCATAACTGTTTATTTCTTTTCGAGAATCCTTTCATATTCAAATTTTATAGTTGCTGGTAGAATAAAAATTTTTTTCGAAAAAATTAGGCAATCAAGATAATATAAATAAAATTGCGTGAAATCTTAATCGTTTAGATTGTACGCATGATAACCTTCGTGTCTATAAAATGGGCACGAGAGTCGATTCTGCCAATTTGGAACTTCTGCCAGTGGTCGTCTTGATCAATGGCCACAAAACCAAATCCTCCGCCCAAGGAGGACACATGGGCTTTTCAGCCCATTGGATCCCCCTTCCCGCCGAACCCTGTCAAAGTAAGTCTCTCATTTGTGTGTTGCGTATTAATTGGTCATGTTCAGTGTATGGGTGAAAACAATATGTACGTTGCACTGTGGTATAAGCACGGAAAGCCGATTCACGGAAGAGCATGGAACAACGGAGGAGTTGTCGAGTGCTCGTTCCCATACAAGAACGCCGAGCTGACTACGAAACAGCAACTCGAAGGACAAATTCAGGTGTTGCAATACACGGGAGATCACAACACTCAGGGATTCTGGTATGAGTGGATCAAATACAAGGATCGTTTGGAGAAGATCGACGACAAGCATCAGCTTTTGCGTTGCGGAGACTCGTTCCCCATCTTCTGGAAGCGTCCGGAAGGAAATCTTCTCGGATTCGTCGACAACAAGACCGAAATCGCTCTCTTCTCGATGGGCGGAAAGGTTTTCCAACGATCTGGAGGGGAACTCAATGATATGTACATCGTGATTCGAAATTGCATCGGAGGTAGTTGTGCTCGATCGAAATTGATTTGATCACTTATTTCAGGACCACCCCATTGCGAATGCGAAAACTGTCCAAAGCCACCTCCACCACCACCAGTGCCACCACCGGGTCCCCCACCGCCACGTGTCATGCACGACGAATGGATCGATATCCGCGAGGGAGATGCGTTCCCGACTCGCAAGCTTGTCAAAGCTCTCGACAAGTCGCTCGACACCCTTCCAGGAGTCAATCCAGACCAATACGTCGGACTCTGGTACATGCAAGGAGAGCCGGTCATGGGTCGTGTGTGGAACGACAACGGCAAGGTACGCTTCTCAGTCACTTAAACCTGCGCATGGTTTGAAATTCTAGGTCGCCGCGTGCTTCTCTTGGTTTAACAACGAGTATTGCAAAAACGTCGGATCTATCCAGTTATTGGCTCGTCTTGGTGAGCACGTCGTTGGCTACGAATATGGTTGGATCCCATACGCGGAGGCTGCAAAATTCGGTGACAAGGAGTGGCATCCGGTGCACGTGAACAACCACAAGGGTGACATCTCTGTAGGAGTGATCAACTTGCCAGGCGGCAAGCAGATTCTGTGCAAAGTGGACATTCGTAACGAATCATATGGATATGGTTATCAAGGCAAGGAGCACAATGGACGTGGTCCGGACTGCTCGAAGAACATCACCGTGCTGTGCCGCAAGGCTCGTCCAGGATACAAGTTGGACGGATAATAGTCGAACGCCCAATTACATTCCCACGATTTCATTTCATGAATAAATTCATTTTGTGGATTCTACAATTAGAGACTATTATTGTGATGAAAACGATTAGTCATCATCGCAAATCTGGGTGTGGAGAAGGGAGAAAAACAAAAAAAAGATTGCAAATAAAAGAATTGTGATCGTAAAAAGCTTTGCGCGATTTCGTTGGCAATTTTTGCTTGATCGTAGGCAGTCGGATAAAGACGAATCGGTTCCATTCACAATTTAGAATTAATGGAAATTATGTATATATAATAAAGTAATGAAAGATTCAATTCGAATGTAATTGATATCAAGTGTAAAGACGAAAATTTGAAACTTCCTTCATTGTAGAAATGCGGAATTTTTAACGTGTTATTTAGTTTCTCGTTTCAGCGAATCGACGAATCGTTCTCCGATGAGATTGATGAGAATTCGAGAATGAAAATCGCTTTGAAGAAGAGTCAATCCTTCAGTTTTTACAGTAAATGTTCGGGCGCGATCCAATCGTTTTTTTTTTCGACGAATAATGACGACGTTGGCATTCGCGCATCGCCCAAAAAAGGAGAAAAGGAAAAGGGCGGTGGGATGGTTGGTTGTGTGTCCAGCGACTTTTCGTCAACCATTTTCATCGACCATTATTGTGTCTTTACTCTCCCGCACGACATTTTTTGAGTGATAATTGATTTCGGTCAACCTTGATTGTTATTTATGTTGTATTGAGATGAGTAAACGTTCAAAGACTGTCGCGAAATCAATTGAATCATTCTTCATTTTTTTCAAGCATCGAGATTCACAGTAAAATCGGAATGTCTACCCTCAAAGAATTTGTCATTGTTCGTGATGCTGACCTCCCACGCGGCAGCATCAAACAACTTAAAAGGGTGTGACTTTACCATTTTTCTGCAGCATTGTATCGTGTATTTTGAAGGTTGATTTCGGCCCATCAAGGCTATTTATTTATGTGTTGGAAAATTTCAATCTGACCATACATGATTACGTGATTATTTCGTGTCGGGAAACGTGTGATGACAATCGCAAATATCCGTTCATTTGGTCAACCACAAACTTGTTTCGATTACGTCGTTTAGAACGAGGTGGGCGTTTCTTGAAACATGTGAGATGTTGGCCTTTTATGGAAATTTTGGTTTTCCAACTCGTTCCATTGTTGATTGCAATTTTTGATTTATCGAAAACTATGTTTCGAGAGTGTTTGTTTGTTGTTATTTTTTACAACACCGCCAACTATTTTCATTTATTATAAGAAATTTATGCAAAAAAATAGCAATTATGGTAGCATTGTTTGAGATTTCTTCACCTTGTTCAACAAATACTTACTTGATCATAATCTCTGATTTTTTCTGAATATTCAAACTCTGCGCCGTTTCTTTTTTCAAATTAATGTGCTATTTTATGATTTTCAAGTGTATTAATTGTTAAAATCGCGATTCACAATTTTTTTTTCTTCAATTATATATGCATAATAATATGAAAAGCATAGTTTGACAAAGACATCAAAATTTTCACTTCTTCTTAAAATGATATCTTTCTTGAATTTATTTTATCATTTTCTCTTTCACCCATTTTTTGGATGATTTTTCTATTTTTAGATGCTTCGCCAACTTTTAATATTCCTTTGGCTCATATTAATGTCGTTTTCAAAATTTGATTCTTGCGATCAATGGATTCAACAAATCGGCGATTTGGACTTTTTCACTGAAGCTCAGATTCGCCTAATTTGTATGCATAAAAAAGAATGGACCAAGGATCGAGATACGGAGGCCTCGCGAAAATTCATCGAATCAACGACAGGTAATGCGAAACCAGTTTCGATATTTGTACCGCCATAAATCGACATTTAAAAAATGACTAAACGTGCATTTTTGCATTCCAGAAAATCAGTTGAAATACTTGAGGAGTGTCGAACACTGCACACGAAAAAATTGCGTGAGAGATGCCCGACGAAAGGTTATTAATTTCTATTGTCATTTTGAAGTTGAAACAATTAAAACATTCTTAAAATTGGAGAAGAACGAAGATTGTTATAGAAAAGAGCGCCAACGAAATCAATTCGAAAAGAAATACGCATGCTGACTCCTAGGGAGTTGCGAAATTTGGCAATTGCGATGAATGGCCTCAAGAATCGGAATATCGATAACATCACTGCCTGGGACCTTCACACACTCGTTCATTATCCTGACAGTGCTCCAGGTACTGTACTTAAAATTTCTACTAGATTTCTATAATCTATAATTCAATCTAGGAGCTCATTGGGGTCCCGCGTTTCTTCCGTGGCATCGAGAATTCCTTCGCCAATTTGAAATCGCTCTTCAAACCGAGGTGCCCACCGTGACACTACCATATTGGGACTCAACACTTGACCAGGGTATGATCATTTTGTCTTCAAAGTGAAAGTGATGAATACGCCTAACTTGATACACCACATAGTTAAAACCCGACAGTGACGAAATAAGCGAAGAAAAACTTGAAAACGATTTCTTTGCCATCAACTTTCACGTTGTAGGCCTTCCTGAAGAGTCAGACAGTGTGCTTTGGACAGCTGAATTGCTGGGAAATGGCAATGGGTATGTGAAAACGGGACCATTTGCCAACTGGGATACAAATGTGCTGATGCCAATGAGTCAGGTTCCTGTTAAAAAATTGTACCGGTAATGAGAGGACTTGAACGATGTTTGAGTGATATTTGACGGTTCAGATTCACCGGAGGACGACCGCAAGATCGTCTAATGACACCACGCGACGCTAATTGGATTATTACGCGAAAGAATTTCAGCCAACTTACGTTTTGCCATGATAAGACATTCGAAACAATGCACGGTCTGAGTCATGTCTGGGTCGGCGGTTTTATGTACGTCATTCGGTTGGTCAAATAGCAATAATTTTTTGAGGAAATTTTATAGTGTTCAGAGTGAGCCCGAATGATCCGGCATTCTATATGCATCACGCGTTTATTGACAATCTGTGGGAGCAATTTAGACAGAATAGTCAAACAAGAGAAGAAAGAGAAAATCAATGGGCAACGGTAATAATTTTAATGAAAATATTGTCGGAGTTAAACGATTCAACGAAATTTAAAAAATGATTGGCTATGTGCCAATGCGTCTCGAGGCAGCGAGAAGTACGCGAGACTGCGTACATTGCATTATAGTGTACGCGCATTTAAAATTTCAGTCAACGATTAATTGAAATTTACACTGATTTCGCGAATTTGAAGGTCTCACCTCACTTCAGTCGTTTGACGCCGGCAATAATTAGGATTGAATTTTAGAAAAATTGCAACAAAAATCATGGATATGATGTTCAAATGAAACCCTTTACGATTCAAAATCGAGATGGATTAAGCAATCAATACACTGATGAATGGTTAGTCTTTTTTTTCTCCAAATAGCAGAAGTTTTGTGGAGTTTGGCAAGTGTTCGTCGCCCAATAAAATCTAGAAATCTAGAAACATGTAGATAAACAATTTTTTATGATCTCTACCATTGTTATCTTTGGTTTGATTGATTTGTATACGAAAATGATTTGACATTCAAGTTATTCACATCCGCCCGGTTTAGGTATGAATATGAACCTGTAAGACATTGTACTCCGGATTCAGCAACGTGCGATTCTCAGTACCTCTGGTGTGATTCAGATCTTTGGAGGTGCCGTAGTAAGGTTTATAATTAATTGAGTTGTGAAAATCGGTTGAAATTCGGAATCTTCTAGATAGTTTATGGTGGAAACTGCACTGGATATGAAGGAACCCAGATATGTTACAATTCGGTATGCAGTAAAGGAACTTGCGTGGTCCCGCCACGAATTCGCACCGGAACTCGTCTTCACATCGAAGATAAAAACGAGGAATGGAAAGAGAGTGTTTGGGCGAAAACGGTGATGATCGATGAGAATGGCAGCGGTGTGATCGACGATCTCGCAAGGATTACTGTAAGGGATCTGGAGACGAATGAAAGTGTGACGGTGTTCAACTATGGCGAATACACTTTCCCGGAAATTTCGGTAAATCGCTAGAAGAAAAATGATTCATTTTCACATATTTCAAGGGCACAGTTTATTTGAATCTTCCGAAACCGCGAGGATCTCAAACGAAAAGAGTTTCCCTTGAAGCCGTTGATCAATACGGAAGATATTGTCAATCGCAGTGCTACAACTCGACAAGTGAACGTTTTCAGGTATTTTCTTCCAGCTGATGTTTAAATTTCCAATTATATTTCTAGGTTTGTCAACCGATGCTCAACATTTCAATGAAATTCGATAAACACGTATCCCCAATTTCGTTTACTCATTCGATGTCGTCAAGAACGTCTCGTTCCTTGATTTGTTCAATGAAACAACCATTTCTTTTTGCAGTTTCCTTGACACGGATCTCTCGGTTCATCCGAGACTTTTGAAACCTCAAATGCCTTATATGGTGTTCATCTGTGCTCGAAAGGTTCTCAATATTATACCATTAATAATTTTTAAAAATTTTCAGCTTATCACGTCGGCAATGATATTTGATTTAGCAGAAAGTGTTCGAGCTCAAATTTCCAGAGAAAGCTTCGTATTTTTCCGAATTACGTTGTTTAGACAGCCGTTTTCAAATTATCAAGTATTATTTTTTATGTTTGCGAAGAAATATAGTTAAGTTCATTTTAGATAGAAGTTGTCCCACAGGCCATCGATGGGCCAATATGGACGTCGTCTGTCGAAAAAGCAACGTCTGCTTTTGATCCCAATGTTATTTTTGTTCAGGTAATCAAAATTTTCTTTTAAATTTTCTTTTAACTTTAAATTTTCTTTTTTTTTTCATTATAATTTTTTCTATTAAAATTATGATTTTTGTTAGGCGCCGAATCCAGAACTTCATCGAGGAGGCGTTCGAGTTCTTGTCTCAATTCTCGAGGATAATCAAAGGGTTTCATGTACCATTAAATGCACTTTGGTAAGCAACAGAAGACAAAACATTGAGAATCAACTCGTTTTCAGAAAGATGGATCGATGCGAGAATGCGACGGAAATGTCGATCTTCATTCTGATTCGTCTCTTTCTGATGAAGATGTCTTTACTACAGATCTGACAGCGCTTTCTGTCCTTGGCTGGAATATGAAGGGTCATCCTACTCAATGGAGGCACAAGGTGCCATACTTGGCATTCCACTGTTAGTTGCTCATACTTCTGCCTTGTTGATTTTATACGGGTTCGTTCATAGTTTGTTAATTGATGTTTTAATAAAAAAGATTATTACTTTAATTTTCAAAAATATTAAACGTAAACATTCAATTCGTAAAAAAAACGATCGCCTTGCACAATTGTGGACCATCGCACTTTTCGAGGCGGTAATTCAAATCAAACAATAGGAAATTGGGTACCTGCGAAGCTAACTCACCGTAAATCGGGGGGCAGGGCACTTTTTTGCGAATGTAATAAATTTTAAAAATATTTATAAATATGTTACATTAAAAAAAATTAATCTAGCCGTATTGGAAATGAAATGAGATAATGGCAAGAATTGAAAGTCAAAGCAATAGACTAGAACGCGAAATTATCCAATGGAGAACCAACTTTGACCAAGTCGGCGGTTTCTGTCCATATTCGAAGATGTTTCGAGAGTGGTTGCAGGTCGGTGGAAGTCTGAGCAGATTGAGATGTCATCGCGAGAGAATACCTGACAACAGTCTTTTCCGTTTTTCCGCCGAAACATTCTATGACTCACTCTTTGCAAATGCGGCGGATTTCTCGCGCGCTCTCTGATCGTTGTGTTCGGAGAAGACGTTGCGCGATCCTTTGGTTGATTGCGATAATAGCAGAACTATAAAAAAATGCGATTGAATTGGGAAAGCTTTCACTCTATCAAGTTTCAATGATAACATGAATTTCGGGAATAAGAAAACTCACGCATGAAAAACAGAAAACGCAGATTGCAAGCATCACAAAAATCGCCGAAGCCAATAGAATCGCTGGAAAAACAAACTCAATGAATTATTCAAAAATGTCAAGATTTTCTACCGTAGAATATCATTTTTGCGTTATTTCTTGCGAAACTTTCTTCGGCAATATGGTGTGCCACCAACGTGTGTGGTTCTGCTTTCAACGTATGACCAGCAAGTGCAATACTCAATTTTCCATTCGAGACCTCCTCGGAAACTTCTCTTGCAAAAACTCTTGACTCGACATCTCGAATTGTGAATTTGACGCTGTTGTCATCTCGAATGACGACATCTTCAATTGATCCACGTGGAATCGAGAATCGTTCAACAAGAAGATTTATCAATTTTCTTTCGGCATCTTGTCGTAATTTCGGCTCGATTCTTTGTCCGGTGAATGTGAATGCGATCTGATAAGATTCGATTGGCATCTGAGCAGTCGCATGCGCATATGGAGATGATAAATCGAGTCCAATTCCGGCGCAATAATTCTCGCAGTCATTAATTGTTGCAAAATTGTTCAGATTTCCCGCACATCCTCCGTACGTGAACGGATCACACGTATGAGTGATCGAGTTATAATAGAATCGAGGCAGTTTCGACGTGCACGGTCCAACGTCGAGTTTGAGATTGCAGGCATGCCGTTTGGCAACACAACACACGCCAGTAGTCTTTCCAGGAATTGTCGAACAGTAATGAGTTGGAGGGCACCCATTCGTCAGAACAGTGCATGAGTGCGGGGTTCCATCTGGAAGCGAAGAGAAAGGATCTCCATGAGGACAAGAGTTTCCGCTTTGAATTCCCACACTCTTTATGGAATCTTGAAACAATGAACATCGATTTAAAACGAACAAGACTAGCTAGAGTTTACCTGTCGCCGGACAGCACACTCCATGCATATAATTGTCAAATGCGGTACAGTAATACCCAACCGGGCATACAGTGTTCTGTGTACACGAGTACTGTTGTCGAGTTCGAGATTCAATAAGTGGTTTCAATCCGCTGTTGCATGGTGATTTCTCGCAGGTTGGCACCGGTAGACACCACTTTCCATTGCATTCTGCTTTGCGGAGAATACACACATGTCCCGGCAGACATTCGATGTTCTCACATGCCGATTTGCAAATGCATTCCGGCTTTGGGCATCCAGTGATGTCAAGCTGAAGACCATACGGACACATTGATCTTGCACACTTTGAAAGGCATATCGATCTGGCTAAAAAAATGGAAAAATGATTAAATCCGTAGCCACAAGAATAAGAATAAAATACATTTGCACGCATTCTTTGTTATTTTCATTTTGCGGGTGCCGTGGATTTCTTCGCCGCTCAATGCATCAGCGCACCAGCAGCTCGTCGGATCGCATTGCGTTCGCGAGTAGTTTCCGTCAGCGTCGCAAATCGGCAGCGCTCCTTGAATGGTGGCTCCAAAACGAATGAGCGATTCTAAGGCACCTCGCATTGTGGTGCAATCTGCAAAGAAGATCCTAAACTCGACAACTCTCATACAATTAATGGTACTCGTTGCAATGTCTTCGAGCGGCGTGTCGATGGGAGCCACTTCCACAAAATTAGACAAAGTCGTTGTGATAATGGGCGTTGCAATCACGTTGACGACGGAGTTTTGAACTGGCCTCTGATGGCAGCACACGCCGAATTCGGCTCCTTTCGTGAATATACATTTCGACGTTTTCGCACAATTTCCATCATTTTCGCATAGCAAAATGTTTCGATAAATGTCTCTTTGTGGTATTGCACACATTACGTCGACACACGCTGGAACATCGGGACACGGATGCGAAGTGCATTCGACACGTCGAAGAGCGCATTCCATATGGGATGGGCATTGATAGGACTGAAAACTTGACACTTGCGTATTTACTGATTTTGTTGAAAAGTTTACATCGCAAATATTTGCGCATTCGCAAACGCCGTTCGATGGACAGCCGTTTGAATCCAGCCGGACACCATAAGGACAATGAGATGATTCGCATTTAATCGAGCAGATTCGAGTTACTGAATTATGATCGAATTCGCATTTTGAGATGAAAAATAACAACTCACGAGAGCAATCGATGCGAACCTCGTCGCTTAGCGCAGTTGTTCTGGTCCCAGGCACTTCATTCCCAGTGGCGACATTCACACACCAGCATTGTCTGAATATGAGCATGATCACACTGAAATTACCAAATTTCCTTACTTTAAACTTGTGTCACATTGATATTTTCTGAACGATCCATCCGGATTGCATCGGATTGGCGTGGGAGATGGAAGAACACCATCGATTTCCGGTCGCAATTCAAATGCAAGCAGACGGTGAATGCATGCAGTTGATATCTGAGCCAAAAATAATAATGATCAGCTAATGAATGAGCTCATACTCTTGGATTTGTGCAAAGAGTACCACAAGAAGCTTGGCAACATTTCAAAAGTCCTGGGCAATCATTGTCTTCTTTGCATTGCTCTGTACAACCATGGTTGATAAGGAGTTTCGGACAGGTTCCGAGTTTGATTATTTTGGGTTTGACTGTTGTTGCGGGAAGTGTGGTGGTGAGAAGAATTGTAGGCGAATTGACGATGATCGGAGAAATCGCATGGCTCTCAACAATGTTCTCAATTTTCGATGCCTTTCTCTCAATTTTGATGTTATTCAACAATTGTTTCTTCACTGGTTTAATAGGAATTTGTTCTAAAAATACGATTTGTTTCAATTCGAAAAAAATTGGAATTTAAAATTTGTATACTTGTTTCAAATTGGCAGCTCGTTCCACATCCATTAAAACAGCATGACGAGTTCCGACAATCTGAGTGCTGTCGACAGCCAACAACACAAGATGATCCATCTACTGAGGAGAGCATTAGAGGAATTCGAGGGCATTTCAATGATTTCTGCGGTGGTCCTGGGGCAGGACAACAAAACGAGATATCCGAGAATCCGCTGTTCTGGCAATAAAATCCTGTTGGACAGATCATCGACTGTGTGCAAGTGGCCAGCAAAGAATGCTCCAATCCTAATGGTTCTCCATGAGAGCACATATTCGGGATGCACTTCGCCACCGGTCGACAGAACTTGGAACTGCATTGAACTGGCACCAGACGGCACACATTTCCGGCAGGACAGGATATGAATTCGCAAGGTGAAATACAATCGCAGACCGGGCAGCCGTTGTTGTCGGTCTTGAAGCCATGCTCGCAATGAGTCGGACAGCTGATTGTCAGACATGGACGGGGTTTGTCGCAATTTGGAACACGGACTGATTTAGTTCCAGGAACTTCGATTCCTGCCTCGTTTACGCACCACATCAGACCAAAGTGAGATTGAATCTCATCGAATTCCCCATCAGTGTCGCAGTCGGGAACGAACACTGCTTGTCCTGGGAGCTCTTGTGATTCCGAACTGAATGAAATCATTAGGATTGCATATTAATTATAATACCTTTTGTCGTCTTCGGCTATCTTCAATGCAGAAAGCCTTTGATGAACACAAAGCGGGGCGATATGAGGATGGGTGCATCGTCGAACACATCCATCCGAACAACACTTTAACAATGACGGACAATCGGAATCATCCTTGCAATCTTCCAGTGCTGGTCTAATTGTTTTTTTTTTCAATACTACTGTCAACCGCGATTTGCATACCTCTGAAGACAGAATGCTCCAAGCGGGGCAACTTTCAGGCATTCTCCAAAATGTCTTGAATCTCCCTCGTTTCTTACAAAGTTGGTTATCGCAGACACACACGTCAGTCCGCAGCCATTCCAGCAACATTTCGACTTCGCGCTGCAATCTGAGTCCTTTCGGCATTCTTGTACACATTTTTCCACAGTTGCCGCAGTGACTTCCGTGATTTTCGGGCAACTTCCATCGTGAACATCTTGTTCTAAAATCCAATGTCGAAGTAGGTTTTCAAAATTCAAACCAACTTTCTCCAGTACAACAGAATCCATCATCTTGGGTGAGCATCGAACAATGCGTCGTCATGACGGGCGAAAAGCAATCCTTATCTGTGAGGCATTTTTGCACACGATACGACGTCTGATTCCGAATTGTCTCCGACGCCGGACAAGGATTGATAATGCATCGTGGAATCTGCCAAAGGAGCTCATTTCACATATTATTTCTGATCCACTTACAGTAGGGCAAGGCTTAATAACGCATGGAACTGAGGTCGGAACACAAATAGAATCTGATGGACACGAAACATTTTCACATGGATCAACGCAGTTGCACGTGGGACATCCATTCGAATCCTTTTTGAATCCATATTCGCATTTGATCGGTCGACAATCGTGTTTCGGACATGGCGGGGGACAATTTGGAGTTTGATCATCGCCGGTTTTCGTTCCTTCGATGTACGTTCCTTCCTCATCCACACACCAGCAATACTCTGTGTCGCACTGGATCTGCTCAAACGAGCCATCCGGCCTGCATTTGATCAAGTCCATTTGTCCCATCTTCTGTAGGTTTGTCTTCCTCACAAGGCATTTGCTTGTCTGAAGGGGATAGGCGCATGATTTGTTGCAGCCGTCATCGCAGCATTTCGCAACTCCGGCACAATCAGAATCGTATTCACACGTGTTTTTCCTTCAGCCATTGTTTTTTTTTTTGTTGAAATAAAAAAAGACTCACTCAAGTCGATTACACAAAATCCGCTGCTCGGTGATGCATGTGCCTGGTTTTTCGAAAATCTCCTTCGAGAACTCAACCAATGAAGTAGTAATATCTCGACAACTCGACCCACAACCATCAAAACAGCATTTTTGATGCATGCGACAATCATCGTCCACACGGCATGAAACTCGGCACATTTTCGCGTCAAGACTTATCGGCACAACCGGACAACTGCCGACGTGCCGTGCTCTGACAGGAGATGGGCAACAAATTCCGCCGGACGATAAACCGATTGAATGACACCAATGCGTACTTGACGGGCATTCTTCGTCTTTTGAGCAGCTCTCAATATTACCCACTGCGGAAACGTAAGGACCACCGGTTGGACAAAAATCGAGAACACCTGAGAATAAAAAGGCAACTCCTGTTGACCACCTGATAATGATACTCACATCTTGGCTGCGGAGGACAGTTTCCTTGTTGATAACATTGCACAGAGCTCATCACACAAACACTTCCTTGTGGGCATTTGATCTTAACAATAATTTCATTTTAAGCTTTGCTACGTTCACAACTAACATCTTCGCAAGGATTCCGACATTTACATGTTGGACAGAAGTTTTCAGCTTTCTCGAATCCATAGGGGCATGCGGATTTGCATACCAGTGGTTCGCATGGATTCCGAATTTCGCAATGCGGTTTTCTTCCAAGAACACGCGAACCGGGAAGCGGTTCTCCGGTGACGATGTCCACACAAAAGCATCCTTCGTCATCGCATTGATATTGCTCGAAATTTCCAGCACGGTCACATTTCATTGCAGTTCGTAACGAGTACAATTCAGCAGTTAGGGCAAGATGAAAACAAGCTAAAAGAGAAAATGTCGCAGCCGAATAATAATATTCGTGGAATGTCTTACGGGTACTTCTAACCGGATACATACAAGTCGTCGAGCATCCCTGTCGGCAGCATCGTTTAATCCCGGGACACTGCGAATCCGAATGACATTCGGTTGAGCATGTTCCGTTTGTTGGAATCTGATCGGCACAATCTGCTACCAGCGAACTCAAATGGCCCTTGTTGTATTTCTCGACATCGCCAGGCTGATAATGATGTGTCGTTTTCATATTTGTCGACATTTTTCGCATCGTGTATCCCTCGGGTTGCGTGCAAGACAGTGTGCAACCATTGAAGCAGCACTTCTCGTCTTCGGGACATTCAGCATCAGCAAAGCAGGTTGACGACGGCTCCATAATGCATTTTGATTTATCGGCTGATTGGCTTGGACAACGTCCGTCTCTTGTCGATGGTTCTTCTCCAGAACAACAGAATCCTAGGCCATTATACCCAATTTTGAAGCAACGACTGTCAATGCAATCTTTATCGCTCGAACACAGTGCAGTGATTCCGTTGCTTAGTTTTGTGGGAAGACCTTGACGGCATGGATTCAATAAGCATCGGGGAACGGGAAGACACGGCGGATTCGCGCAATCGGGCTCTACCAATTGACACGATTCCCACGAATGTTCGCATCGAACATTTTGACAAATATTGAGACATTTGCAAGAGCTCAGTGGGCATCCGAACACGTCCATCAAATAGCCATGCGGACAATGATTATGGCATTTTTGAGCGCAAAGTCGGGGATTTTGGCACATCGTTGAAGTTCGCTGTCCTCGTTCGGTGCGTGTTCCGATGATTTCTGATCCATAATGAACATCGACACACCAACAATATTGTAGGTCGCATTGAATCGAAGAGAACTGAATGAAATGAACTTCATCTTATTGACTGACAATAAAAATAATACCCGTCCATTTTTCTCGCAGTATGGCACATACTCGTTTGGTAGTCGTTTGTCTGGAATCTTCGAAATCGCTAGCACCATATGAATACATCCGGTGGCTTTCAGAGGCTCCATGCATGTGGTACCACATTCGTTTGGACAACACTTTTCCACAGATCCACAATCCATGTCATTCGTGCATTTTATCATGTCAACACACGACGTCAATGATCCAGTTGGTGGGGGACATTGTCCAACTTTGGCGGTATTAATGATTTCCGGACGAATCGGGAGTGACGGCACTAATATCAAATGTTACAACATTTTCCAAAACTTGTTTGCTCACTTAGAATATTTGAAGCAATATTTCGAATTGTTGGCGGCAATGGTGTACTGAGTGTGTTGCTTGCAATATTTGTCACTGCGTGGATAAGCCTTTGAAATGAACTCGGAAGCGCAGAAACCGATTTCACAGCGGTCACTGCCGTTTCAGATTTGATTGGAAAAGTATGCGATATCGGATCGACGCATTCCCGCCCACATCCATTCGAGCAACATATTAGACGACCTTTAATTCATCTTTTTGTGATATCTATTTTGAATTCAGCTCTTTTTACCACTGCAATCCGCGTCTTTTTCACATCGTAATGCGCAAACTCCGCCGGTAAGTCTTGGGCATTCATCGCGATTTGATCCTAAAAATTTTTCATCCTTTTTTTCCATTTCGTCATATTCGTTTTTCGATTTATGTTATGTAACACCCGAATCCAAAAAGCGTGAGGATACTCGTGCAATTATGAATCGGAAAAATAGCCACGTTCGTTTCCAGTCTAGGTACACACAACGCTAATAATTATCGCCCTATAATTTGACGAGTGCGTAACTAGTGAAAATTGGATAGAATGTGGATTATAGGTGAGAAAACATATCGGGGGGAAGACACTTGAGAAAATGAGTGCAAAATTGGATAAGGGTTTGAATTTGAGAATGAAATCGAAATCAACGTACCAAATTTAGGAATGCATCGAGGTTTGATACCAATTGCGATGCAACTTTCTGATGGTCCACATAATGTTGTTTGACACGGATCAATTGCACATGTGCATAAACACTGTTGGAGCACATCTCGAATGTATCCATATGGGCAAAGAAGATTACAATTTGGTGGTCTTGTGGCGCACACATTCGCCAAATTTGGTGGCAACAATTGGACAGAAATTACAGTATTCCCAAAAATTAATAGTAGAAAAATAAGGAAGCTGGACATTGTGAGCAGGACATGTGCCGGAAGTGCAACCAAAATCACAAACCCAACGATGGATGAGGTTGATGACAGTTCGCGATTGCGTACAAACACACACACGCACAGTCCGCTCGACAGGTTACTTTGTTGGTTGAGGAGTGGCCGATTGTGAGAAGGACGGACGACCAACCGAAAACACCGCCCCATTTTTCGGATATTGTTTGAGATTCACACATAACCAAATTAAGGGAGGGTTGGGTCGAAATTATGGCTTTACAGTCGAAGAGTTTTTGTTTTTTTTCTTCAACGATTTCTGCAAATCACGCTTCAGAATTCAAATTGTCATCAGAATATAATTACTACTCCTAGTATGTTGTTATGTTAAAATTTGAAATTCGAATCGAAGATTTAAATTTCAAATCTTCTTCCCCTGCCTTGCAAATAAATGAATTGTGGCCTGGGTTAAATTTTTCTATTCTTTTTTTTGTATATTGCTTCAGCAACCAATTTAGTTAGTTTCTAAGCAAACACTATATCAATTCGTTGAGAGCCTTATATGGCTCCAAGTGGGTCCACTACATTTGTTATATAGTTGCCGCTAACAGAATTTGTTGACTTACAAGGGAAGTCATTTTACCTCCCGTCTTAGGATTTTTTGTAATTTTGCACACGTAAACTAGAAGGTATTTTGAGTGTGCTCACAAAATTCCAGCCTGCACTGGGGGGTTACAGGCGAGTTATGGCCGTCTGAAAATTCAAGGTGTTTTTCCATTGTCAGCAACCATTTGGGCAAGGGGTTACGCATACGCCTCTTGGGGCCCCACTTTGGCATCCAGGTGAAGTGAAGTGGTATGTGTGCGGGGCAGTGACTTTATGATGAAGGTTCGCACCCGGCTCACAAATTTTTGCTTTTTTTCTTTTTGCCACAGAAAATTCCGCTGCAAATTGGTTTCAAACGCATAATTTCATGTAAAAGTGTCGTTTCAACATTATTTATTATTTTTTTTTGCATTTTACAGTTTTTCGTTTTTTTCAAAAATTTCCTGAACTCTATTATTTTCCACTTTATTGTTTGGTTCTTGGAGTGGATGTCGAATTGGATGTCGAAAAACTCACTTCTGATCGTTCAAACGCATAATTTCATTTTTTAACATATTTAACAATTTACTCTTTTTCGGAGTTTATTTTGCAACACCAGGTCAGTAGCGGGCCAGGCAACCAACAGTTCATGTGATTGTTAATAATCATGAGTTCGATACATAAGAATTTCTCAAAATACAAAAAAACGAATGAATGAGTTATATCAATATATTGCTACATTCTGGCGTTTGGCATTCTCTGGCAACGTCTCTCGAAAAGAGTTTCTGCGCTGGAGTGAGGAATGGTGGAGGCCGTGAAACATTATATCAACTCGCAGCCCAACTATGTATGCTTGATCCAATCTTGAAATTTCGGAGAACACAATTTTCTGTACACGACGTAAAGAATGTGTAAGAAAATAATGTTATAACATTTTCATTACTGGTTTTTACCAAAAGAATCGACTTTCGCTTGTGGACCTTGAATGAATGTTGCCAAAAGTGGGCGTATTCTCCGATGGATTTGATAACTTTTTTGGACCCTCCGAACACTCCAACATCGAGTGATTTCGCGAATCCCGTATATCCAGTTGGAATAGAACCTTCGAAATGTTGGAGTTGTATTTGTGTCCTTGCAGTCCATCCATTCCTTTCCATCCACTCCAAGAACCAAACAATAAAGTGGAAAATAATAGAGTTCAGGAAATTTTTGAAAAAAACGAAAAACTGTAAAATGCAAAAAAAAAATAATAAATAATGTTGAAACGACACTTTTACATGAAATTATGCGTTTGAAACCAATTTGCAGCGGAATTTTCTGTGGCAAAAAGAAAAAAAGCAAAAATTTGTGAGCCGGGTGCGAACCTTCATCATAAAGTCACTGCCCCGCACACATACCACTTCACTTCACCTGGACGCCAAAGTGGGGCCCCAAGAGGCGTATGCGTAACCCCTTGCCCAAATGGTTGCTGACAATGGAAAAACACCTTGAATTTTCAGACGGCCATAACTCGCCTGTAACCCCCCAGTGCAGGCTGGAATTTTGTGAGCACACTCAAAATACCTTCTAGTTTACGTGTGCAAAATTACAAAAAATCCTAAGACGGGAGGTAAAATGACTTCCCTTGTTAGCTACCTACGAAAAACAATGATTTATTTAATAATATGTATTTATTTACAAAAATCTATAATAGTGAATATTATTCGCATATTGAAGAGATCATATTAAATGTTGATTATTCAAAATCGAAAAAATCATTTTCCAATTTTATTGTTTGATTTCTCCGATTTCTGTGATTGGGTTCCCAACGATGTTGACGAAGTAGCACGAGAAATCTGAAATTTTGAACAATTAATTTATTTTGTAATTCGAGAACGATATATAATCTAGAACATATATACGACAGAGAAGATCTCAAGTGTAAATGGATCAAATTTCAAACTTTGATTTCCCCTCTCCGAGCTAATTGTATTTTTACCTCGCGACTCCTATCTCGAATGCTACTTTTGTGAAATGAAGCTACGGAGCATTTTGAAGAAGGCGCTGCCCACCATTCGCGATCAGCGGATCCCCAAATCGTGAACACAATAACGGGAAGAGCTGCAACAAGTGCCGACACGCGAAAAACCATTCCCCACTCGGCAACAGAACCTATTTGAATATGATGATTATAATTGCATATTGAATATCTAACCGGATTGCACAATCTGCTTTGTGAGAATTTTATTTCCAATCGAGAACCAAGCAACTGCAAAAAACGACCATCCAGTGATGATTCCAGAAAATGCTGGAGCCAATTGAACCATTGCTGTGATAACACCCGGTGTGTGAAGCCCTTCAATTCATTTTACGATGAATATATTTTTGTTGCGAACTACCAGCAAATGTCATTGCTCCACAGAGGCAGACAACAGCCAAAAATGCGCTATCCTTGTTGAACAAAGGCACCATAAAAATACAAAGCGCTAATCCTGCTGAAGCAACGCCGTTGAAAATCTGCAAGAAATATTTAATTTAAAATAAATAAATTGATTTGAGTTACTTTGCAAACGAAAGTTTTGTCGAAGTGAAGTTTTGTGGTAAGATATGAAGAAAGCGATGAAGAAAAGGTTTTTGATAGGAATAGGCAAAGAATTGGCAGAGCTGCGACGATTCCATTTTTGGTTGGAGCGAATTCAAGAACATCCCTCATATAATTTGGTAGGAATTGAAGCATTATTACCAGCGGATATTCGTGACAAATTAAAGCGAAAATACAAGCCCAAAGCGGTTTTGATCGAACCATCGCGCCGTATCTGAATTTGGTCCGAATTTTTAAGCAAAGCATAGATAGCGAACATACGGTACTCTTCGTGTGCGATCGGTTCTTTTTCCAATCGATTCACAAGCAATTCGAGATTCGATGAATTCTTTTTCTCTTCCGGAAATACACATTTGTTTTGCCGGTTTATCCGCTCCAAATGGAATCCAGAAGATTGTGACCATTATTGAAATGACAGCGGAGAGATAAAAGATCGCCGGCCATCCATCCAATACATCTTTTCGAGTGCATAAATAGCCAGCGGTCGGCAGAATGAAAAGAGTTCCGATTTGACGTCCGCCAGAGATGATTCCAATAGCGGCGGGTCGTTCTGCTTGTGGAAACCATCTAGTGATGAGAGAATTCACCGCCGGCATCAGACATGCGTCACTAGCGCCGATGGCAATTCTAGCCAGTACTGCCCACCAGAATGAAGCCGCCGCTAGTATTGGAAGCATCAGATTACCAATACAACAAAGAAATAGTCCCATGAATACCTGGAAGAAACAAAATGCAAAAAATATTAAGCGGAATATCGGATACCATCCATTTTCCGTTCAGCCGATCTGCCCACATTCCTGTGACAATAGTCAACAGTGATCCAGCGTTTTGGGCCGCCAGAACCAATCCTTCCTATAAATAATCAATAAAAATTATTGAATTGTTCATCGATTCCGCATTTTTCATTTATCACTTCTTTTTTCCATGTATATTAAATAAGATGCTATTCGATAACACTAATAATGTTTCGAAACAAATCAAGTTGCCTGTTGTGATTCCCATTGAAGTGTTCCACCGTATCCGTGAACTGGGCATGATGTCATACAAATAAGGGCAACGGCAAGATTGGACGATGAAATTGAGAGAGTAATGAAGCAACAACAGAGCATCGCCGCAAGCATAAGTCGCATTGAAGGAAACAGAACCGACGGAGCCACATATTCTGTAATACGTTCCAAAATTTCATTATCACGAATGTTGAATGAGAAACCGGATTCCGCTTGACTTTGTGTGTCCGGAACAATCGGCGACGCAGGAATGTCGAGATCGACGGTGTCTGAAAAAAATCTTAATTGTGTGTAGTTGATAAGACGATTCGCGATGTCGGATCGATAACGATATGATGATGACTTCCGATATTTGAGTTATGTTCAACGGCGCAAAATGAAATGAGAACACATTTATTTTGTTTAATCATAAAAACATTATATCAGATACAAATAGGTCTTTCGTTTACCGTTTTTTGGAACAAAGATGAAGTGAACGGAAAGAGAAATGATAAAGGAGAGATGACCAATGACGGAAAGGGTGGTTATAGACGACGTTCTAATGGAAACGTATGCTTCAATATGAAACTTAACAATGTGATTTTCAGAAGTTGTCGACATAAAAACTAAATATGGTAGAGGCGTTTGAAAAAAAATGAAATTTTGTATTTCGCATGAAAATCATGTAATCGTCAAAATGATTTCTAAAAAAATAGATTTGAAAATCTTTTTTTTTTCAATATTTTGAATATTTTTACTCAATAGTTCGTTTTAACTTTCAAATTTTTGATACGGATTCACAATGGGTTCCTTTCTTTGCTTTCGTATCACTTGTTTTAAATTACGAGAAAAAATCTAAAGTTTTTTCTCGAAACATATATACAGCGCGTCTTGATTATACAGACTTTTTGTTGAATGACAATCGTTGCGAATAACTCGAATATGCGATAATTAGATCGAATTCTATGTTAATTCATATCGAGAATTTCATCTCACAAAACAATTATTTATAATTTGCATGAACTAAAATGCTCTAAATCGAAATTTTAAAAAAATGTAAAAACTATAGTAGTTTTGAATAATTTCAATAAAAGTCTCGAGGCATAAATCAAAAATTGTTAGCAAGTATTTTTTTGATGTATTTATATTTGAACAAGAAGAACATACCGATTCTGAAGATGGTCTTTTCAGGAGGTGAATCGAGGCTTGTTGCTCGGCTGAGTTTCTTTTGCGGTGGCGAACAAGTACTCGTCATGATCTTCGTCGACTGCCGTCGGGTTACTGTTCACATCCACCACCAGCGCCACCGTTTCTACTGCCTGCACCTAGCGATTTCGATCTCTGCGTCTTTTCGCACACCCACGTATATACACTTCACAATTAAATCAACCAACCATCGTTATCTTGTCAGATGGTCGAAGTGTCTAATCACTGCAGCGGTCGCTCCTGCTGCTGCTGTCCGCGCATCGATGCGATTTCTCCTTCGTTTCGTTTTCGTTCTCTATTTTGGATCGGTTTCAACTAGTGTGCGTCGCGTCTTTGAGATTCCGTAGTTTTTTTCTGTATCAAATGATGTTACACTACTGGAATATGGCAAATGAACACGAGTGTTGTTCTTGTGTTTCAGGAGGTTACTTCAATTCGATAATTCGATCAGTTTTTAGTTTAGAAACAATTTATTGCGAATGCGAATGACGTCAAACAATATTCGCAATTTATTTATGAAATCAGAGAATCTTTGCGAGTTCGTCCGGGTATAGGGGTGAACACCACCGCCAGGGCGTCACGCCCCAAACGCGGCCTTCTAGATACCGAATTTCTTTCCTGCGCCAATTTGAGGAAATTCATAATCGTCATAAATTAATTTAACATTTCCATATAACCACAGTGAAATTATGGAAATGGTGTAAGTAGCTGTCTCACAGATTCAACATGAAATGTATGCATCAGGGCTGTGCGGCATTCAATGGACATTAATTTTTGTTTCGCCGATTTTTTTTTATATCAAATTGCCGAAAATCAAAATTTCGACAATCCGGCAATTTGCCGGTCGAACGTTCTCTTCGGCAATTTGAAAAATCGGCAATGTCGGCAATCGCCTTGCCGCACAGCCCTGGTGTGCATGAGCAAAAGATATGACGACCTCCAAAATGGACTAATTGGTAATCGTATTGTTTTCACTTTTTGGAAGCAAAAAATGGAATATGCACATAATAAATACATCCATACATATTGCATGAAAAGGCCCATTACGTTATGCACCTACATAGACGCAATTTTTTTACTCACGTGCAGAAAAATCACTTCTAACACACCCACGTTGGTAGGAAAAAAACATCTGCTAGCAAGTTACACAAAAATCGTAGTATCCTTCAAAAGAAAAATGGAGAAAGCCGTAAGTGACCACTTCGAAATCAGTCTGCGGCAGCTCATCATATCTACACGTGTTTGCAGAACGTGATTCATCACAGACAACACAAAATGCCTACACAGGGGCTTACAGCACTAACGCCCTGTGCAGCCAACAGGTCTGCAACGGGGCTTACAAATACGACCCATCGCAGAATATTGAATAACAAAGCTCGATTATACTGAGCAAATAAAAAATACACACAAATAAAATATTAGTGATAATTGACGACTAAAGCAACAGGAAGTCCTCATCACAGACGTTGATAATTTTGTGTCTCTGAAATAACCTTTGTTACTGCGATCCAATGTTTCAAAATAGGCAGAATTGAAACATCTCGAAAATTAGCTTTCGTATTATCGTCAACAACGGAAAATTTCGATTGACAATTTCTCAGTTTTCTAACAAGCGTAAATAGTTTATGGTTCAAAATCTGGATACTGATAACAGAAAATCTTGAACTTTAAAAAAAATTATTTGCAATCCTGCATTGAAAAATATGCATAATTTTTTTATTCGCCCTCGATAATGCATGCTAGTATAAAAACACGAACTTACAGTTTTGTTTTAAAAAATTGCATGAATGAAAAACGATTTTTTTATCTTTTCAATTTCGTATTTAAACTCTTTTATTATGTTATTTTTTATTTGTACGAACATTAAAAGAATACCAGCGCAAAGAATACCAACGCCTCAAGATAAAAAAATTACCCGTTAATGCCGTTTTCGTATCTAGTTGAATGATGACGGTTTGGAAAATTGTGAATAGAAGAAGAGAAACTAAAAAACTTCGTTTGTTTGTCTAATAAGCAACACTGAAAATGTTGTCAACCATTCTGATAATTTCAGAAATTTTCGACAATTGACAAGCTTTGTCAGTTGGACCTGTGAGACTGCTATCAATAGTATTTCCTGTAAATTTTCATGTTGGATCTAATGTTATTGTCGGATAGATTAAAGGTCAAACAGCGCACTAAGACCATCGCCTATTTTTTGGCATTTAGCCAATCGCGCGATGGCGCGACGTTGACAATACGAAGCCTAAAATCTACATAGTCGGCGTCCGGCGACTGCCGTACGGGTAAATTTTAAGGCATGCGCCTTGAACAGGTCTCGCAACGTGTGAACTCTTATTTCGTTGTTTTCACGTGAATGGCTAAATTTTTTTGATGAGGCATTTTTTGAATTTCCAAGGTGATTCGATTATAAAATTATCGAACCGACCAATAAAATGCAATGACCAGATAATCCGCGCGAGACCAATAGAAAGAAGCGTCCCCGTAAATCTACCCGCGTACAAATAATCAATATATTCAGCCGAAAAGCACATTTGCAAACCAGCCAACCAATATTACTTGTTCACGTGTCATTCCTTCAACAAAACTACATGAATGGCAAATCAGATCTAAATTTTAAATTAAAACAAACGACAGAATTACACAAACCTTTGAACACTTGGAAGTCTTTTCGTTGCTAGTTTGCAGGATCTTGGCGTTGATTATGCAAAAAGATTGGCATTAAATAAATGAAACCAACAAATTGCCGAATTTTTTTTAAATTAGAATAAAAATTAATTTCAAAAAGGAACCCAATGCCATTAGAAAATCAGATTAGCGCGGGAAAATTGAATCGATTTCGCCTTTCGCAAGGTTCAGACTCCATGCGCCGCAGCTTCAAGTTAAGAACCTTGAAACACCTATGTTTAGCAAACATTAACGTTTCAATTTGACTATCAGACTGATAGTGTTAGACTACGGTGGACAAGCCGAACAGATTCGCGAGATTCGAAGGCTGTTGATAGGTCGACGAAAATTCGAACACGACAGCAAACGCTAAGAACTTTAAAAACAGTCGTCGAACTAATCTAGGTTCAGTTTGGAATCAAGAAAAACCAGACACAGCTCGAGGTGGGATCTTTTCGTTTTTTTTTGTTTTATTCCTATTTTTTTTTCGTTTTTTTGTTTTATTCCTGTTTTTTTCGTTTTTTTGTTTTATTCTTGTTTTTTTTCTGTTTTTTTTGGCGACAACGCAGCTTCTAGAGTGCTCGTTTATCTCGAAGACCTGCTATGCATGATCTGAAGTGGTCGAGATTGATAGAATCGAGCTTGGCCAGTGTTGTTGACTTGATTGCTGAGCGCGATTGAAGTCGTTCGCCGTGTCTCGTATTGCCTCTGGATATTGTCCTTTGAAGAACGTCCTGTCATTTGAAGGAATATTGAAATATTGACAGTGATGATGGGAATGTCGTCGGATCATGCAGTTGAGATGGAAATGTGGCAATTGTTTCTCGCTCTGGTTGAGGTTTCTGGCTTCTTGGAGATGTCCCTGTCTCGTTGATGCGTTGTGGAAGAAATGTTGCCTTGTTGTCACCATTTTTCTTTTTTTTCTAATCAAATAGTTGTCCATTTACCTCGAGCTGATAAGGATTTTCTTGACCTTCACCGATTCCACAAAAAGATCTCTGACCGTATTTATTGCTCATTACCGCATACTGTGCGTGAATTTGCGCAAATCTCTCATACACACCTTAGAACGGCACGAATGTGCTCCGATCACCTACCGCAGCCAAACACTACAGCTTCAAGTTTCCTTGAAACTTTGCCGAGAGCTAAACTAAGGTGCAGCAATACTCTCGACTATCGTCATTGGCGAAGTTTGCAATTCCCTCGCTCAATTCGTTTTCTCCTCAACTCTCTTACGCATATCTAATTTTCTAATAACAGAGTGTTTTGCAAATTATCGAACTTCGCGTTGGAAAATTAATTTAAATACTAGTGAATTATTTCAAATGTTTAAAAACGCACCGCCCGTATTACCGTTTCAATCGAAGTTGCTGGTCTACTTGTCACAATTAATCAATAATTTGCTAGGTGAAATCTGAAATTTATTTTTATTTTAAATAAATCACGACAAACTGCGAAAAAATCGAAAAAAAAAACATTTAAAAAATGAGTCAACGTGACAAACGTTTCAATGAGCCCAGTGTAGATGTAGGTAACGGTGTTTGCAGACATACGCACTATTTGACGATATTTCATTAATTTTATTTTCCATTTCTTTCAACATGCTTACACGGATAGCTGCAACTCACGTGTGGCCTAGAAAAATTAGTATAAACTTTCAGTAATCAAAAATGCAAGTGCAGAACACTATCACAGGCTAATTTTTGAAATTATGGGTAATGCATAGGCGCGGTTTTCTTTTATTTCTACGAAGGTGTGACTTTTATTTTGATATTTGGTTTTTGAAATCGTAAACACACAAAACATATGCGTACTCATTTGTTCTACTAAATACATCAAATGTGGCCGTGGCCGAACCTAATTTTTGGGGACAATTGGTCTAGGCCGCACGTGAGTTGTGGCGAGCTGTGCTTATTTATAACGATTGGTGAAAATTTTTTTGGTGAAAAATTTTTTTAGTGAAACTCTTGGTGAAAATTTCTGAAATTTACTCGTTTAATTCTTGCCTTGATAATGCTTGACAAAAATACACTATATCGGACGATGCTGCCGGAAACAAATATCCACTGAATACAGAATGATTAAAAAGAGTAAATGAATTTGTATTAAATATTATCACGTCACGCAATTCATTCTCCAAAAATATATACTTCTTACTAGCTTTATCATTGATACACTCTCACCTCCTATTTAAGCGATGATCATAAAGTGAAGGAAAAGTTAAGAAGCCGGGAGACCCTCTATGACCACACAATATTCTTATGGTACTCATTCTCTTATTCTTAATAAACTTTTAGTTGTTTATTGTTGTTTTTAACTAAAAACCATGAATAAGGCATAAATTATTTTCAGGTAATGACCTCCCCCCTCATAAGGTAGTTG